TAGATTCGCATATATGTCGCCAAAGGAACCACTCCATGTTTTCTAAAAGGCCTAGAGAACATAGATCGGGTGCCTCTCTTCTTTCCCTTTGTGTTCGTCATTTTGGTTAATTACTGGAAGATGGCGGTTCTGGCCAAAAGGCCCTATGAACATTCTTTTAAAAAGAGAGAATGTGTCCGGCTCCTTTTGGACGGGCAACCTCAGTGTCCGGGGTCCAGCTCGGTCCTGCCACTGTTGGGCTGTTGGTGGCCGCAGCTCTGGCTTCCAGGATCTCCAGGGCCTCTTCCCGGTGCTTGCCCAGCTTCCCCAAGTTTGCCGTGGGGAGCAGGCGGCCGCTAGGGGGCGCGCTGGCCTCACAGATGGCGGAGCTGAGCCGGCTGCACTCCCGCCCTCTGGTGAGCCCAGCTGGGATGGAAGGTGGGTGTGGTTTGCAGCCTAGTTCCACCCCTGCCTGTCCCGGTGCAGGAGCAACCTCACACCCCCTGGACCTGATTTGGACCCAGTGTTACCTTCCAGCACCCAGGGCCCAGCTGCCATTGTGGTGCTCCCTATGCACCCACAGCTGTGGAGTCCAGGACTCTGCCCGTGAAGGGCACGGCTTTGGTTTCAGGGTCCTGAGGGCTCAGGTCTTGTGACATAGTTCAGGGGAGGAGCCCAGGCATCTTCTCCAAAACGGCTCACTGGGGGAGGGATCCTTGCAGCCAGGAGAGGTGCCGTTTTTATTTCCCTTATGCTGGAAGGCATGTGTGCTATTAGTGGGAGGAAGGAGGGAAAGTGAGAAAGCACCCCTACCTGTGGGGCACAGTCAGTCTCTCAAATCTACTGCCTGTGGGATCAGGGCACACGAGAGCGTGTGCTGAGTGGTTTCCAGTGGGATCGGGGCACACGCACACGTGTGCTGAGTGTATTTTTTTATTTTTGAGAGGTTTTCGTTAGAGGGCGCGTGCACTCGCCAGACAGAGAGAAACAGAGAGATAGCAAGAAATCACCCCCCGGGGGGGATGGCCACACCACAGTCCCTTCTCCATTCTCCTCTAGGGATCTTGGGCACGCACGCACACGTGCCCGGCGTGAGTTTTAAGCCACCGGGCCCGGGACGCGAACCGCTGTCGACTACGTGGGAGTCCAGCACGACATAGCCATTACGCTCACTGCTGGTCCACTGAGTGGTTTTCAGTGGGATTGGGGCACACACGTTCACGTGAGCTGAGTGGTTTTCAGTGGGATCGGGGCACACACGTTCACGTGAGCTGAGTGGTTTCCAGTGGGATTGGGGCACATGCACACACGTGAGCTGAGTGGTTTCCAGTGGGATCAGGGCACACGTGCACACGTGAGCTGAGTGGTTTCCAGTGGGATCAGGGCACACGTGCACACGTGAGCTGAGTGGTTTCCAGTGGGATCGGGGCACACACACACGTGCGCTGAGCCACGTGAGATCCAGCTGCCGTAAGCCCAGCCTGCCCTATTTTTTTATTTTTTGAGAGAGTTTTTTCTTTTTCTTTTTTTTTTTTTTTGCTATAGGGCATGTGTGCTCACCAGACAGACGGAGACAGACAGAGACAAACAGAAAGACAAAAAGTGATAAATCACCCCCCAAGAGGATGGCCACGCTGCAATCCCTTCTCCTCCATTCTCCTCTCGGGATCTTGGGCACGCACGCACACGCACCCGGAGTGAGTTTAAGCCACTGGTTCCAGACGTGAACCATGGTCGACTACATGGGAGTCCAGTGACATAGCCATTATGCCAACTGCTGGTTCCGCTTACTGTTGAGTTTTAAATGTTATTTGTATATTCTGAACACAAACCTTTACCATTCTTGTAGTCTATGACTTACCTTTTCATTCTCTTTATGGTCTTTTGTAGAGGAGAAGTTCTCAAATTTTCTCCTTTCAAAATTTATTATTATTTTTTATGACAGACAGGTGCCCTGAACATGGCCTCATCAGGCTGTGGTGCTCCCCGAGCCTCCTAGCCAGCCAGGGTTACGTGCGTGTGTTGATCTCCCCGAGTTGGGGTGCCCTGGGATCTAGATCCAGGAATTCTGTGTAACTCGTATTGCACACAAAGCCTGTGCCACTATGGCTGGGCAGACGGTTTCCATTTTTTAAATTGTCATAGGGCATGTGCTCTCACCAAAGGAGGAGACTGCATTCCCCAAAGGGGCGTGTCACACTGCAGTCCCTTCTCGAATTCTCCAGCCTCAGGATTTTGGGCTTACACATCTGTGCACGCCTCACACACACTCCTACACCTGAAATGTTTCTTCAGGATTGGGATTTGAACCAATATCATCCACGTGGAATCCAACTTTTTTTTTTTAAAGATTTATTTATTTAATTTTATTTATTTATTCCATCTTTTTTTTTTTTTTTTGGAGAGGTTTTTGTTATAGGGCGTGTGCGCTTGCCAGACAGAGAGAGACAGAGGAAAGCAAGAAATCACCCCCCAGAGGGGATGGTCACGCCGCAATCCCTTCTCCTCCATTCTCCTCTCGGGATCTTGGGCATGCACGCACACACACCCGGCGTGAGTTTTAAGCCACCGGATCCGGGACGCTAGCTGCGGTCGACCACGTGGGAGTCCAGCGACATAGCCATTACGCTAACTGCTGGTTCCCACCAACCCAAGTTTTTAATTTTTTTTTGCTAGAGGGCGTGTGCATTTGCTGGAGTGAGAGAGAGTGTAAAAAAGCACCTTCCCCCAGGGGAATGTTCATACTGCAGTCCCTTCTCCACTTCTCCTATCAGGGTTTTGGGTACTTATGCATGCAAACCTGGTGTGTGTCTCAATCTGCCAGGTTTGGAACTCAAAGCACACCATAGGCCATATGGGATCCAGTAGCCTTAACCATTATCCTTATGTCACTAGTTGGTGCGAAGTTTTCAGTTATGTTTTTGTTTTTAGACCTTTTTTTTTTTTTTTAAAAGAACCAACCTACCTTCTTTCCTCCCTTCCTTCCTCCCTTTTTTCTTTCGACCGGAGAGGGACAGAGAGAGAGGGAAAGTGAGAAAGCAAGCCGCTAGGTCTGGGACTCAAACTGTGTTTGGCTATGTGGGAGTCCAGTGCCCTTAACTACCACACCACCTGCCAACACCTGTTTTCAGACTTCTTTAAAAAATTATTGATCTAATTTTATTTATCATTATTATTATTATCTTTTTAAAAATTTGACCAGAGAGAGAGAGAGAGAGAAGGAAAGTGAGAAAACGAGCCTCCAGGTCCAGGACTTGAACTGTGGTTGACCATGTGGGAGTCCAGCATCTTAACCACCACGCCACCTGCTGGTCCTCTGCCCCAGTGCATGTATGTATGTACTACACACACACACACACACACACACACACACACACACCTTGTCATGCATATTCATATACACACAGATTATTCCTCAGAAATTATGTCCTACGTGAGGTATGGGCATTTTATTTAGTGAGGGTTTTTTCCTTTTCTTTTCCCATTCTGACTCTTGGGTAATCTGAACCCGTTACCATGCACTAAGTATGAGGAGAGATCGAGCGTTCGACATACCTGGCACATAGTAGGTGTTCAGGAAAGTGACTTCTTAACATAGTTTACTTTTCTGGGTGACGGGATGGGAAGGGGGGCTGTGAGAAGGAGGAATCGGACTGCTAAGGGGTCCTCTGGTGTGTGATCCAGGTAAGAACCTGGGGTGGAGGAGACAGGCTGGCCCCCAGGAACTTTCTGGCCTAAACTGTTTCCTCTCTGTTTCCTCCTCTGCTTTTTTAGGACAAGCAGCTGCGGATCTTTGACCCCAGAGCAAAGCCCCAGGCCTCACAGGTGAGTTGTGTAGGCAGCAGGGATAGGCTGAGGGCAGGTGGAGGTGGGGGCAGGCCCCACCTCTGGCAGACGGGGTCCCAGGCGAGGGGGGCTGCTGCTGCTGGAAGCTGGAGCTGGGTCCTCTGAGGGCCTGGCTCTGCCCTCAGGACGGCGCCGTCGGGCTGCCACAGGCTTTCAGTGCAGCATCCTCTGACACAGGGAGGCAACTCGAGATTCCAGCCTCATCCCCTCCTTTGGCACGCTCACCCTCCACCCTCCCTCCCGGCACAGTCTGCAAAGACCAGCTGCAGAGGAACCAGGAGGAACCCTTCCACACCCCAGTCTTGCTGGGAGAGGGTCCAGGCATGCAGCGCACCGACTGTTAGAGCTCCGGGCCTGGAAGCTGGGGCCTGGGTTCATGCTGCCGACCCGAGCCACTGGGGACATAGCTCCTGGGTGCCAGAACAACAGCCACACAGGCTGGGTCCTGCCCGGGGGCACTGCTGGGGGCTCTTGCTGGACTAAGGTTGTGCCTGGCTGACCAACTGACCTTGAGTGGAGGCCTGAGTCAGGTGTACTGAGTGGGACCAGTGTGTCCCAGGAGTCTGCAGCACGTATGCAGAGGGGAGCCAAGTCCTTGAGGCCGGTCACCGGCCGGGCTGTGGGAGGCCATTAGAGGGAGTGAGATGAGTGGATTTCCTTTTTTTTCTTCTGTAATTTGCCAGAGGGTGTACTGACTGGAGAGGGTCAGAGCTAGGCAGAGGGGAAGCAGGCACGCTCCTCATGGGAGAGGGACAGAGCTAGGCAGAGGGGAAGCAGGCACGCTCCTCGTGGGAGTTGGTCACATTGCAGCCTCTTCTCCACCTCTCCCTCCTCTCAGGGTTTTGAGCACACACACGTTGGACATGTTTCTCAAGCCAGTGGGTCAGCCAGGTGAGATCTAGCTGCCTTAACCACTAGGCCACTGACTGGCCCAGGTTTATATTTCTTTTTTTTTTTTTTCTGGAGGGGTTTTTTTTTTTTTTTTTTTTTTGAGAGGTTTCTGCACGCACACTCACCAGACGAAAGCGAGAAATCACCCCCCAGGGGGGATGGTCACGCCGCAATCCCTTCTCCTCCATTCTCCTCTCGGGATCTTGGGCACGCTCGCACACACGCTCGGCGTGAGTTTAAACCACCGGGTCCGGGATTCGAACCACGGTCAACTACGTGGGAGTCCAGTGACATAGCCATTACGCTAACTGCTGGCCCCCAAAAAACAGTTTTTTAGAAACTGAGGAGTCTACTTCCCCTGGAAGGCGAAGTTCAGGACCCTGTTGCCAGCTCTGGAAAGACTCCCCAGGGAAGACCCAGGCCTGTCACAGATACCCCTTCCCCATCTTTAAGACGTGTTCCCTGTGTGGGGCTAAGGGGTTAAGGGTGAGCCATCAGCTCAAAGCCGCTGGCCACAGGCTGTGGGCCCTGTCCCCACACAGACTCCATCCACGGCCACAGGCTGCGGGCCCCGTCCCCACACACTCAATCCATTCACACAGCGAGTGCAACTTTGGGGCTGAGATGGTGCAGTTAGTCCTTCTGTCTGACTGAGGACCAGGAGGACTGCTTGACAGCTGGGCAGAGTTCTTCCTGGCCAGGCTGCTGACCTCCATGACCCATGGGACCTGGAGCTGGTGGCGGTGGCGGTTGGTTTTGTGGCAGTGGCAGTGTGGACAGTGGGCCTCCCTTGCTGGTTTTCGTTGTCCTACCTCCAAGCCTTTGCCCAGAAAGGGGTCATGGGTTGATAGAGAGACAGGCTCCCACCCCTACCTTCTCCGGGTACCTTCTCCTCCCCCAGGTCCTGTGGTCACCGTGGCACCTTCACTCCTGCCCTGACCAGGCCTGAGTTCCTTCCCCCGCTCCTCCTCAGCAGGGTGGGGGCAGGACAGTGCCGAGGTGGAGATGGGATGGCCGCAGTCCAAGGTGCTCCCTCCACATTCCTTGAAGAGAGGGGAAGGCTCTGGTTTCGGAGGAGCCCCCCTGAAGGGGCTTCAGCTACGGAGACCTGGGAGGCTCCCGCCCCCTCCCAGCTTCTGGGCCTGTGCCCGGTGCGGGGGCAGCAGCCTGGAATGCCGCCCTCCGTGTGCCCTGCCCCCACTTCCGCCCAGGGCATCTGGCCCACACCTGGCTTCCATTAGGAAAACCACTGCTGGCGGCCAGGGTCGGTGAGCCGAGGGGCCAGCTTGTGGGGAGGCCTTCTGGGAGTGCCTGCTGAGATCTCCTTCCCGCTGGTGGGGGCGTGTGGCTGGGGCGGGGGAGAGCCTCTGAGCCCAACCTGGCCTGAGCCTCACCTGTGTCCTTAGAGGCAGGAGGCTGGGCAGGGGGGGAGGGAGCCGTCTCTCCACTGTCTTCCTTAGGTCCAGCCTCTGATGACCGGAGCTTGGAGCGGGGTGGGGCCTGACGGCTCCCTGCTGTCAAACCCTGACCGTGTCTGGGGGGCGTCCAGGAGGTGGGCTCTGTGGTGATGTCTGGCACAGGAGAGGGCGCCAGGCTGGGCACAGTGCTGTGGCTGCCAGAGGGTCACACGCAGGGCATGGAGCCAGGCTCCCTGACTCCTACCTGGGGTGGGAGGGCAAGGCCTGGGACCCTCTCCAAGGCAGGGAGCCTGGGACAAGCCCTCTGACCTTGCACGTGGGTACTGAGCCTGTGCCCCCTTGCCATCCTGCCGTCCGGCAGGCCCAGGAGGGCCCGAGTGTCCTGAGCCTAGCACTCAGCTTGGCAGGCAAGGCAGTAGGTAGGCAGTGAGGTGGGCATCTGACCATTGGAGGAGCCCTACCCACACAGGAAGACAGCGGAGGTGTGTGCTGGACGCTGTGTGCTGGAGACGGGATCTGACTTCGGGCAGCTGGCGTGCTGAGTACAGGCCTCCCCTGAGCCTCTCTCAGAATCAGGCGAGGGTGGATCCCTTGCCCTGAGGCTCACCTGCCTCTTATTTATCGTTTTCTTGAGAGAGATAAAGAGGCAATACTTATTTTTTTAGAGAGAGATTTTTGCTATAGGGTACGTGCACTCGCTGGAGAGACAGAGAGACATCCCCACAGGGGCATGGCCACACTGCAGTCCCATCTCCTCTATTCTCCTCTTGGAATTTTGGGCATGCACACACGCACGTCCAGCGTGAGTGTAAAGCCACCTGATCTGGGACTCAAACCACTGTCTGCTATGTGAGAATCCAGCACCATAACCATTATGCCATCTGCTGGTCCTGAGGCAGTGTATTTTTAAAGAGGCACTCTAAAAGAGGTCTCACATTGCGACCCTCAACCAACCAGGAGGGCACACCCTGGTCCTCCTCCTGGCTTCCAGCTCTGCAGTGTCGGCTGTCCCGCGCTGCACCTGGGCCAGAGAGTGAGGGTTGTGTTTTTTAGTTTATTCCAGACAGAGACAGCACGCCCAACTATCTCCATCCACGATTTCCCCCACCTTAACTGACCAGGTCCTGGCGTGTGGGCATGTGCCCATGTACACGGGAGGCCTTAGATGGGAGCTGGGAGGTTTCCAAATGGCCTTGCAGCAAGCTTTCACCAGCAAGCACTGTGTTACCGCTGCGCCCCACGGCTGGACTAGAGCTTTGCTTGTTTGAAAGTCATTGGTCTGGGATTAGAGGAGGGGTGTGGGTGGCCACGGGCCCTTATCAGCCATAGGACTTCCTCTGGTCCCTGTGCACACAGCCAGACACGTGGGAGACTGGAGTAGCTGGGAAGTCCATGCTCCTGCCTGGGCTTCACTTCCCTGACGCCCCTGGGCCTTGGGGCTCCGAGGCCAGGCTGGAGGCTGTGGAAGACCTGCCAACTCATGCTGCATCCAGAGGCTGGCTGCCTCCTGCAGTGGGAGCCCCTCCGGGGATCCCTGGGGGAAACCGAGGGCGTCTGGGGGCAGTTGTAGTGTGGGGTCACCTACTGCCTCTGGCTGTGACTTCGGCCACCTCTGAGCTCCAGACCCGTTGTGCAGAGCCAGCCCGTGCTGCTGGAAGGTCCAGGGAGCCCACAGCTTTGTTGCTAGGTGACTTTGGGCAAGTGGCTCTGGTTTCTCCGTGTGCATAAAGGATGGTGAGAGCAGCGGCAGGGACGGTCTACTCCAGCTGGATCCTGGGGATGGCAAATGCTCGATGGCAGTCCTCCGCTACCTGTGCCCCTGCCTGTCGCTGCTTCTGGTGCCTGACTTGCCCCTGCTGATCAGCGTGTCTGAGCTCGGGTGTTACCTTACGCCCACATCCCTCAGCCAGCTTCTCCTGTGCCCAATGAATGCACGATACATGCCAGGCCTATTCTGAGTGCTTCTCGAGTTTACCACTCCTTAAAATGGTCTCTAATGTGGGTCTGGTTATGTTGCTGCTGCTTTTTTTTTTTTTTTTTAAGGTTTTTGCAATAGGTCATGTGCACTTACCAGAGAGAGACTCAGAGAGGGAAAGTGAGACCCCCCCCCCCGGGAAGATGGCCACACTGCAATCCCTTCTCCTCCATTCTCTTTTGGGATTTTGGGCACACACACACATGTGCCCGGTGTGATTTTCCAGCTGCCATCTCTGGGAATCGGGCCACGGTTGGCCATGTGCAATTTAGCATCTTAACTACATGTCACCTGCTGGCCCCGGATATATTGCTTTTTACGGACCTTGAGGAATTGGACCTAGGACATGGTTACTAGTGGCCAGGCCTGGGATTCCACCCAGACAGGCACCTTAACCTTCCCTATACTCTGTCACAGAACATACAACGACATACGTGACACAGTTACTCCTCTTCATTGAACATCGACCTCCATGATGGGAACTGCAGGGTCCGTGGACTGGGGGCTGAGTCTGTTACTGCCTTGCTAACAGGAATACCTGACATGGGGTGATTTGCAGGGAAAATGAGGTTTATTTAGCTCTCGGTTCAGAGTCGGGTCCAGGGGCCACCTCTGGTGAGACCACATGGCCAAGGGCAGGACCTTGGACAGAGCGGCTATGCATATGTTTCTGCTGGCTCTGGTCTCCTTTCCCCACCTTGAACCCACCAGAACTCAGTCATGGGGGCCCTGCCCTAATGACCTATGACACCGAAAGGCCCCACCCTGGGATACCATGAAAGGGTTAAGTGTCCACTTACCACCTTTGCAATGACTGAGACCAAACTCATGAAGCTTCATTATCTAAACCACTGCAGGGGCCCTTGCCGTTTGCCCCCCCTGTCCCAGCATAGTGGGGGGATTCCATCTTTGAGTGTCGACAGACCATCGTGCGAGTGGCCCTGCTGCACCCGGCGCTTGACCCTGAGGACTGGCAGGCCCCACGGCCAGCCCCCTGCACAGTTCTGGCCCAGGGGAGCCTCGTGCCTGCTGAGTGAAGGACGAGGTGTGGGCAGGCCGCGAGCCACCTGGTTTTCTGCCACTCAGGACAGGATCCCAGATGGGGTACTGGGGGCAGGGCTGGCCAGTGGCCTGACCGTGACTCCATCCCCTCTTCTGTGGAGAGAGGGGTGTGGGGCTCTGGTTCTCAGGCCTCAGCCTTGACTTCCGGTGCGGCCGGAGCAGGAAGGGACCAGTGAGAAACCCGGAGTGACAGGCAGGCGCTGCTTCCAGGTCTCCCACCCTGGGCCAGCCTCTGTGGGCCGGGGAGGGCCTGGGCCAGCTCTCTCGGCCGCTTCCCTCCCTCATCCATTCCCAAGGCGATCGTGGGAAGCTTGGAGGAAGCTGGCCGTGGTTTGAGGTGAACTATTTTTGGTAACAGGGTCCTCTGTCCCAGGCTCCAGGGGCCAGGGTGACTGGGAGGGAGCTGTTTGCATCCCCCCACCCCCGCTCCCCCTACCCCCTGCAGGGCCCAGGGGACAGAGCCACCAGCCAGCCTGTGAACAAGCCCCTGCTCCCTGGGGGCCACAAGCTGCCTTCTTCCTGGCGGCTTTGCCCGGAAGAGGGCCAGGAGGGCCTCTGCCTTTTCCTTGGCCCCCAGCTGGCCCTGGGCCCCCAGGGGGCAGCGTCAGGAGGTGGTGGTAGTCGCAGACCCTGGATTTGCTCAGTTTTTTGCAGCAGGCCCAGGCCTGCCCTGTGTTCTCAGCTGATCTCGCGACGGCCTTGGGAAGAGGGTGTCACAGCATGGTTCACAGGCAAGGAAGACGAGCGTCCGGGAAGGCGTGGGGTCTCTGGAGCACACAGCTCTTGGGCGTCAGGGTCAGGACTGGATGTGAGTCAGGCAGGGGCCTGAGCCCCTGCAGGAAGGGCGAGATGGTGCCACTCTTGTAGTCCCCTGGCTGGGGGTGAGCCAGGCTGACAGCCGTTTTAAGAGGGAGCTGGAGCCAAGGCCTGCTGGGCCAACTGTGGGTGCAGAGTGCCCCATCTGGGCAGAGTCGGGGTCATACTATGTACAGGTGAGATGCCACTGGGCTTGCGGAGTGGGGGCTGCCCTGGTCCCCACCCTCGGGGGTGTCAGTGGCTCAGCCCTGTGTTTTTCCTTCCGCAGAGTACTCAGGCCCACGAGAACGGCAGGGATGGTCGGCTGGTGTGGACGAGCACCAAGGAACACCTCGTGTCCACTGGATTCAACCAGGTGCGGGGCTCTTGCGGGGCAGGGCGCAGCTTGATGGGGACGCGTCTAGCCCTTTGGGCTCCTGTGCCAAGAGGGTGGGGTGAGGCATTGAGGGGTGACGGTCAGCTCTGGGCCTGTCCATATACGGCCTGGCTGCGTGGCCGGGTCTCCAAACCCCAGGGGACCAATAGCAGCTGAAAACTGGCAAATTCCATTTGCAATAGCTAAGCCTGACCTGGGAAGCTGTGATGGCCCACAGGCATCAGAGCCCATGGAACTGCCCCTTGTCACCTAAGGGGTCTTCCAGAGTCAGGAAATGAAAACCCACACCCTCCCTCCCTGATGTGACTACAAGCCCTGCTCTGGGGCAGGATACCCTAGGACTTGGGGTGGGGTGCAGGCTGGGCCCCTGAGCCTCTCTTTGGCCCTCCCCGCAGATGCGAGAGCGTGAAGTCAAGCTCTGGGACACCCGGCTCTTCTCCAGCGCCCTGGCCTCCCTCACCCTGGACACCTCACCCGGGTAGGCACTGTGGCTTGCTAGGTGGGCTGGGCGTGCCGAGCGCAAGCCTGGCCAGTTGGGGGGGCCGCTGCTAAGCCCCACAGTCCAGCCTGTTAGTGGTGAGCAGTACTTGAGCTGGGCCGCGGGTCTGCTGCAGGAACCCAATGCCATGCTACAGGGGCTCCAGCTGCAGTGGCGGGGCTTGAGGCAGCCCCCACAGGAATGTCCAGCCTGGCCCAGCAGCTGCACAGCCTGGGGGCTCATGTGGGGGGCATGAGCGGGCAGACGCGTCGTCACTTGATTCTGTGATGTCTGAGGGCCTGAGGGGAGGACAGTGGAGGTGAGGTGGACATGGTGACCTCAGGCTGGCAGTTGAATGTGGCCTTGGGCTCTGCTGAGGTCTTTAAGGCCTGCTTGGCCCTGAGGCCCAGCGGCTGGTGGGGGGTCCACGTGCACCTCATCTTTCTGTCTTCACCCCCGGTGTGTGGAGGAGAATTTGTGGCAATGCCGGTAGGGCCCCTGGCCAGGCCAGCCAGCTCTGTATGGAGACAGCTTTAGTCCCTTTTGGCTCCAGAGCCAGACACCAGGAGGCCCATGTGAGTGCTTGTGCATGACCCACCCATTCAGTCCACACCACCACCCACATGGAAGTTGAGGCTTGGGGGTTCAGAGACAGCCAGCAGGGTGTGGGAGGAGGGCCAGGACTTGGTCCCGGGCCTGTCCTCAGCCTGCCTCCGCTGTGACTCAGGAGGAGGCCTGCGGGGACTTTCCCGGGCAGGGATGCTTGGCTGGCTACTTCAGCCCCATCTTTCTTGCATCTCATAACAGAGGGAGCTGAGTCACGGAGGGCAGCCACCCTCCAGCAGCTAGCGTGGTGTATCTGGAGTGGGGAGGCTGTGGGGTCTTCCTGCCCCTGACCGAGAGCACAGCGGTAGGCAGCAGGTGATATGAGAGCCCGAGAAGCTGGCGAGGCCCGTTTTACAGATGCGGGCAGCGAGGCTGAGTGATGAGCCTTCCTCAAGGCCAAACAGTGAGTGAGAGGCAAGGCCAGGGCCATCCCCAGCCTCCTGCCCGCTCCGGGCCTGGGGACTCAGGGAGTAGCCCGCAGCCCCACCTTGTCCGGAGGAGCTGGAGCTCTGGGGCCCTGAGGCGCCCCATCTAGCCTGTGTCTCGTGCCCCCACCCCAGTTTTGATTCTGCTCTTGGCCTTCTAGGCCAGACAGCCCCTTCCCCACAGGCCCCCCCAGCAGAGGCCTTGGCAAGAGAGGAAGTGGCACCAGCGTCAAGTGCCCTTCCACCCACCACTTCCTGCCTTCCACGCTCTGACCCCAGTGAGGGTCTCCCTCCCCTACAGAGCATTGCCTGCCCAGCCCCAGCCTGGCCCCTGGAGCAGTTAATGATGCCCAGACCCCACGGTGCCACCGGCCAAAGCCGAGCCTATAATTACAGCAGTTAAGAATAGCCTCGAAGGACCAGTGAGGACTGGAATTTCTCAAATCGCTCCCAGATGGGCAGCCAGGCCAGCGTCCTGCCCCCTCTGGCCCCTGCCCTGCCAGGTTGGCACCCTTGGCAGGGGAACCCATACTCCCCAGCCACCGTGAAGTGGGTGGGTGTATGTGCCAGCCTCCAGGCCATCCTGGAAGCCAGAGCTCCCCTTGGACTCCTGGGGTATCAGGGCTGACAAGTGCATGCTGAAGGTGGAGTGTGCGTGGCTGTCAGCCGTGGTCACTGCCGCCGGGGATGCTGGCAGCTGGGGCCACTCTGCCATCCTCAGTTCTGAGACTCCTGTCTCAGACTTTCACCCAGGTTTGGGCAGGACACTGTGTGCTCTTAGGAGAGCTGGGGGTGGGGAAAGCTTGGGTGTGCCCTCCCCCTCCCAGGCTTCTGTCCCGGCCCCCCTGCGTCCTCCCCATCGCGCCGGAGCTCCGAGACAAAGTGCACAGGTCGAGCAGGCTATTGAAGCCATCTAACCATCATGCCGCTGACTGGCCGGGGCATCGGGGTTCTGTAAAGTGGGGCCCACGTGGCCAGTGCACACATTGCTGCTGGCACCGTGCGCCAGGCCCCGTGCCTTGCACAGGGTGAGGTGGGGGATGACAAGAGACCTAGACCTACAGAGCCTGGCATAGAGAACAGCCCGTGCTCCAGCCAGGAGGCCGCACACCTGTTTCAGGCGCTGTGCTTCGGGCAGGAGCTTCTCGCTGGGTGCGTGTGCAGTGCTGGGTGAACCGGGCAGCTGGTGCGGCTCACAGGGCCCCGCCTGGCGGCAGATGTGGGATCTAGGCTTCCATGCCACGAGCCACTCCTGTTCACTTCTCTGTGTTGTGAAGGGCTGTTGTGTGTGAGATGAGCACAGGGCAGCGGCAGCGTGGGGCCGGCAGTGGTGAGGGCCAGGGGCCTGGGTGCTAGCAGGTCCCTGCACTTGCCCCGGCCCTGGGCCTGGAGTCGGTGCGATCACCCTCTCAGCTCGGTCCCTCTGTGCTGCCTGGCCTTCCCTTCACCCTCAGCCCTTGATGAGGTGGGACACTCCCAATACCTTTTCGAGGAGTACCCCCTTCTTCGGTTCTGCCATTCCACTAGGCCAGGTTTTATGTTGCAGCAAAAACATTTCTTCAGCCGTCTCTGCGGTGTCTGTGTTGGGCAGTGGCCCACAGGCCCACAAAGGCCCCTTTGACAGGGCTGTGAGGGGGAGGGCAGGCCTGCCCACAGCCGCTCCCCTAATGGGACCCAGGCCTACAGGAAATCCACCTGGGCTGCCGCCGCCACCGCCACCTCAGGAGGAAGGGGCCCCACCCAGCCACTGCCACTACCCACTGCCCGCCACAACCCACTGCCCGCCGCCTGTCTCCACGTGCCAGACCCCTCGGCAGCCACTAATTGATTCCAGAACCTCGCGTGGCCGGGCTTGACTCGGCACTGACATCAACACCCTGAGCCGCAGGGCCTGCTCCCCAGGCCGGCCTGGCTGGGCTGCCTCCTCCCTGCCAGGGGTGTGGCTGGGGGCCAGGGCCGTGGCCCACAGAGGGACATTGGCATGCAGCCTCCAGGAGACTTACTCCGGCGCTCACTGGGCCTCTCTGCAGTTCTGGGGCCCCTTCCTCCCACCCACTGGGAAAAATTGGAAGAGGTGTTGTGTGTCTGCTACTGTCCCCAGGCTCCCCACACCTCTGTCCTGGCCACAACTGCGCTCAGCATCCCCAGCCCTACCCCCACCTCAGTCTTTGGCCTTCCTGGAAGACACTCCCACATCCGGGGTTTCTGGAAAGCCTGGGCACCTCCCTAGTGTGGGGGTGAAGGGGCATCACAAGGCCAGCAAGCCTGGCGCCATCTACAAGCCAACACAGCACTTTAGTCCTGAACCCCCCTCAGGGCTCAGGCCAATAGTGATCCCTGCTCCCCTCCCACCAAGGCCCTTCTCAACAGCTGGGGCAGGAGGCGGAGTGGAGGGAAGGTGCAGAGGGGCTAGACTGCACTTGGGCCTGGCCAGCCTGGGCCCTACAGGAAGACCCGGATGGCTACCTGGTGCCAGGTCCATCCACCAGATCCTGAAATGAAATAGCTCCAGATACCCCTTCCCTATAGGAACGTAGGCCACAGACCTGCCTCTAGAAGGGTGTGATGTCTCTCGGGGACCTCTTCCAGCCTCATACAGGCATGGCAGTCCCCGGGCCCAGGGGGTAGGGCTGCCCTAATGGGTCCTGGCCTGAGGTCATTCAGCCTTGCCTCTGCTGGTCCCTGCTCATTTCAGGGCAGCACATGGGGAGGGTCACCCTCCTGGACCCAGCACTCAGCTGCTCATCAGCCCCAGGAGGTTGAGTAGGGCCCATGCCTGGGGAGAGGGTCCCAATCCTGCTTCCCCAGACAGTGGCCTTTCATGCCTCTCTCTACTCAGCCCATGCCCCATGGCCGAGCCTGAGAAATCATTTCTATTTGTTCTTTTAATTTGTGAAGGGCACATGTGCTTGCCAAAGGGGGAGGGTGGGAAGAAAGAGAGAGAGAGAGGAAAAGTGAGGAAGCACCCCATGGGGACGGTCATGCTTCAGTCCCTTCCCCTCTATTTCTCCTCCTGGAATTTGAGGCATGCATGCACAAATTTTTCAAGCCCCCGGGTCTGGGACTTGAACTGCCGAGTTGGCCATGTGAGATCCAGCCATCTAACCACCATGCCACTGACTGGCCCAAGAAACACACTCATTTCCTGTTATCTTTTATTTTTCTTACAAAAGACCTTCATATCATCATTTGTCTTACAAAAACCAAAGTCCTTGTCTCTGAGTTTAAAAAACATTTTCCCAGAACAAATGGGAAGTGATCTCTTATAAATATGTTTAAAAAACAAACAAACAAAAAGCAAAACAAGTTCCTAAAGCATCTTTCTTTCCAGTTTCTTTTGTTCCTTCACTTCCTGGGGCCGAGGCTGGAGCCACTCGGCCCATCCCCACCCACTCTCCTCCTCTTGCTGGGGGTTTCCTTCACTGCCCCCAGTGTCCTTGGGGTGGGGAGCCCAGCGGGACCCTGGCCTGTGTGACCAGCACACAGCAGGCCCACTGCGCCTGGGGTTGGCACGCTGCAGAGGACAGACACCCTCTCGGAGGCACTCGGGCTCTGGGAATGTCAGAGCTCATCACCTGGGTCACCTCTCATAGGTGACACCGAGGTCCAGAGAGAGGCGGAGACTGGCTGTGGTCACATAGCCCTGCCCTGCACACGTCCCGTCCAGGCTGAGAACTTCCCCAGTGTGGCTGCAGGAAGGGCCAAGAGCCCGGCCCCCTGGCTGCACTGCTGCTCCCAGGCTTAGATGTATGGCTTGGCGGGCAGTCCCTGGAGGCCGGGCCCTGGGTAACCCATGAGTGGTACCTCGCACTCAGGCCCGCTGGGTGGGGCCTCCACACCACCCTCCATTGTCTTGGGGCCAGGCTCCAAGGGGGCCTTCACTCCCTCCAGCTCGAGGGGCCCAGCCCCCGGCCCCAGCTGCCCTTTGCCGTGAACAGCTGCTGCTGCAGCCCGGCCTCGCCGCACACAGTAGGCTGCGCCTGCTGCAGCCAGGGCAGCCAGGAGCACTGCAGCCAGGGTAGGCGCAATGAGGAGCGGCAGGTTGCCCTCACGGGCCTGGGTGACCGGGGCGTGGTTGGATCTGATGGCTGGGGGTGTGCGGGCCTCCCCGCAGGCCTCCTCACCCTCTGATGTGCGCCCAGTCCCCAAGGGCATGACGCAGATGGAGTAGGTCGCGTTGGGTTGCAGCTGAGTGACCGTGTACTCGGCGATGGAGACGGGCAGCCGCAGCGTCACCAGTCGCTTGTCGGGACCCGATAAGTTGCGGTAGGTGAGGCGGAGGCCCCTGAGCTGCATGGGGCTGTCCTGCAGGTAGCGCTGCAGCCCCACACGCAGGGAAGTGGGGCTCACTGGCTCGATACCAAGGGGCAGCGGCCGGGCAGGCCTTGGTGTGGCCGGCGTGGGGCTGGGTCGTGTCTCCTGCCCTGCCTGGCTCTCACAGTACAGGCCTGTGAAGCCCTCAGGACACACACATTCCAGGTGGTGCCAGGCCCCCAGGTGGCAGGTGCCCCCATTGAGGCAGGTGGATGCTGGGCAGTCCTGGGGCCGGGGGGCAGGCCCCACGGTTGGGGGGGCAGTGGCCAGTGGACTGGGGACCTCAGTGGTTGGCTGCGTGGGGCTGAGCCAGGTGGGAGCTGAGCTGGAAGGCAAGGCTGTGGGCTCCCAGGCCCCTGGCCTCGTGGTGGGCACCGTGGCTGTGGTGGTGGTGACTGGGCAGCCAAAGTCTGCATAGTCGAGCTCCAAGAGTAGCCGGCCAGCGTTCTTCGGTGGGAAGTGGCAGCGTGTCTCCTCGGGGCTGGCCAGCGTGATGTGGCTCTCGCGCACCCAGGGGCTGAACCAGCTCAAGGGGCACACGCAGTTGAAGGGGTTACGGGCAGCCGCCAGGAGCCGCAGGCGGGGAAAGAGGCCTGCGAGGTCGCTCGGCAGGGCCTGCAGACTCAGGTTGCTCAGGTCCAGCTCCTGCAGTGCGGCCAGGCCAGCCAGGTCCTCAGGCCGCACCTGGGCGATGCGGGTGTTGCCAGCCAATCGCAGGCGCGTCAGGCCCCGCAGGCCTCGGATCACAGGTGGCACACGCTCCAGCTGGTTGTCAGACACGTCCAGGTCATGAAGGTTGCGCAGGCGGCCAAAGAGCCCCTCGTCCAGCTGCCGCAGCCCCAGGCCGGCCAGCCGCAGCGCCTCCACATTGGCTGTGTCCAGGGTGCTGGGCCCCAGGGCCGGGAGGCTGTTGTGGCTGAGGTCGAGCAGCAGCAGGCGTGGCAGCTGCAGTGGGGGCAGTGCCCGCAGCTCATTGTCCTGCAGCTTGAGCTCCAGGAGGCGGGCCAGCGCGTCGAAGGCACCGGGCTGGATGTGGCGGGTGGGGGTCTTTGCCCGGGAGAGGGGGGATGTGGCGGATGCGGTTCTTGCCCAGGTAGAGGCGCTCGAGGTGCCACAAGCCCCGGAAGGTCTCGTTGGTGATCTCGCGCAGCCTGTTGGCTGTCAGGTCCAGGTTGCTGAGGTTAGAGAGTGGCTGGAAGACCCCGCCAGGCAGACTGGAGATCTGGTTCTGTGACAGGTCCAGGAGCTGCAGGCCTGGCAGGTTGGCAAAGCTGCCCACGTCAAGTGTAGTGATTCCGTTCTCGAAGACGTACAGGCCCGTCGTGTCGGGCGGCACGTCTCGGGGCACTGTGGTCCCCTGGCGGGCAGTGCAGAAGACTGTCTGAGGCTGGCTACACTGGCAGCCAGCGGGGCAGCTGCACACGGGGGGCCCCAGGGCTAGCAGCAGGAGCAGCAGCGGGGTCGGCAGTGGCAGGGCGCTCCTGGAGCTCATCTTCCGTCCCTGGGAGCAGAGAAGAGCCAAGACCAGAGACTGAGTCGGGCTGAGAGGACTGCCCAGGACGGGCCAGAGGGGAACTCCTTGCTCCCTACCCAAGTGTGCAAGCACCCAGTAGCCATGAGTCAGGTCCCCAGGGCCCCTGTCTGGTTCCTGTCCCAGCCCCGTCACTCCCTCGCTCTGTGACTTTGCTGTCATGGTGTCTGTCGGTGTCACAAGCATTCAGTGGGGTAGGGCCACACACCCGCTGGGCACTAAGAACATGCAGCTTCTTCCTCCTGACCCCACGCCCCCGCCTCTGCCTGGGGAGGCCACTCTGCCTCCAGTGCAGAGGGCAGGAAAGGTGGGAGAACCGTGGGTCCTGGAGGGACAGCCCCTCCCTGCCGTGTCTGGGAGACGTGGGGCAGCAGGCGGCAGCCCGTGTAAGCAAAGGAGCTGCCCAGACCCTGGCCCTGCCGCACGCCCCACAGCCTGTCCTCCCCTCCCTCCCTCCAGTGAGGAGAGACCGCAGCAGGAAGACTTCACATGGAAACTATGGGAGCGGTGTTTTTCCACTTGTGAAGTCAGACGTGCCCAGGATGGGGCTGCAGGCTGCCGGGATGTGGCCAGCCGGAAGGTCCTAGAGGGGGGGCACAGGCGGCTGGAGCCTTTGGCAGGTGTCCCCGTCAGGGAGAGGGTTGAGTAGGCAGGCGAGGGCCTCTCAGATCCCCTCTCCAAGCTGTGATTCACTCACTGCATGGGAGGTGAGGTGGCCCCGAGGCTGTCCAGGCCTAGTCAGCCCCACAGAGCCATTGCCCCGTTTCCTGGGGTCTCTCTGGGCCGGGCGCCTGCAAAGATAGCAGCACTGGGGACGGGTCTTTCCCACGTGCCAGACCCAAGCTCTGCGGTCTCAGTGCTTACAGCCATCATTTCGGGAGCAGGCTGTCACCGTCCCGGTGACTCTGAGGCACAGTGGCTTGCTGCCGTCACAGTGCCCGCACGTCTGAGCCAAGCTAGACCTAAGTCCCGGCCGGTGCAGGCCGGGCGCCTGCAAAGATAGCAGCACTGGGGACGGGTCTTTCCCACGTGCCAGACCCAAGCTCTGCGGTCTCAGTGCTTACAGCCATCATTTCGGGAGCAGGCTGTCACCGTCCCGGTGACTCTGAGGCACAGTGGCTTGCTGCCGTCACAGTGCCCGCACGTCTGAGCCAAGCTAGACCTAAGTCCCGGCCGGTGCAGCAGGCTCGGTGCCGCAGGCTCCGGGGAGCAGGCCACTCCCCCAGCCATCTGAAAGGA